GTAGGGAAATCATCTAGTTGTACCTAAACTTACCCTAGGATGAGAAGTTCTGTGCTGCAACATTTTGTACCCAGCCTGCCAACACTGCATTGTCATCTTTCTCTTGTAATTGGCATCCAAAAGCATTAATTTGTGTTCATTTGCTTTGGTTTGGGACATTTGTCTCCTAAGAACGTGCTGAAAATGAGGGTTTCAAGTAAAAAACAAGGTTGTTAATTACCCACAAGTTGGATGATTGGCCTATTTAATAACATTTGTATTCAGACAGTGTTCTTGACCTGGTTCTGTAACGTTTTTGCAAACATTACTTTATTAATAACAACTATATGATTGGTGGAGTGTTTTGGAAGAGTGGCTGTCTTTGGGAATTACAGCTTTAATTTAGACAGGTGAAGAAGAGAAGCATCTATGGATATTCAGGCCCAATTTTTCAATAAGAAGCATTTGAGTGGATTTGACAGCCCTCACAGGCATGGATTACCATAAATCTATGGAGGTACGAAATATATTATTAGTAACAAATATCTTATGCTTTCTGACTTCTTGAAGATGGTGTTTTCAACCAAAAAATACTAGAGACCAATATGCCTTGCTCTAACACAGTAACTGTGATGGAGTTTAACACAATGGTGAGCAGAATTCCCCAGCAGTGTCCAGCCTCTCCGTTGGGCTCCTTCCACGGCTCAGCAGCAGCTCAGGTGCTGTTCCTGCACCACAGGCCAACAGTTGGATGGGGCTGCAGAGGGTCCATGCAGTGTCAAAGTCTTTCTGAGGTCCGAAGCTATATAAAATCTTCCAGTGTAAAAGTTGGTGAAAAGGTTCTGCAATAAAAAGAAGTGATGCTGACATTTAGTGAACTCATAAAAGATCATTGGATCCTGTAGTTTGTGTCTGAGGATATGCAGCTGGGAAAGACTACAAGCAGAAGCTGCTCATTTTTTCTTGCCAGCATGAATAAAAGGAATTTCCCAGGGATGAACTTTTCCAAGTGTCTTTTTGTGACTTTGTGATTGCATTTTAGGTGTCACAGAAGAAGAATTTGTGTTCTCTGTCAAGATATATAACAATTGACACTTTTTGTTCCTCTGTTGCACAAAAATGTTGTCCTCATTGTGCACTTAATCTACCTTGTAACTTAAAAGGACAAGCACGTTACAACTGTATTCTGTAAGAGACTTGTAAGAAGATTTTAAAGGTAAGGTCCAGGCAAATAGTTGTGAACTTTTTGTGATTTTGACAGATTTGTTGAGATTTGCCTTTCTTGGACCTTGGTTCTGACCATGTACCAATGCTGACAAATTTGTGAGAAGAGAGGCTTTGTATATCAAGAATGTCATATTTATTTTTACTTAATTAATATTAAAAGCACATAAGGCTTGCCAATCTGGAGTCCACGTGAACAATAACATTTGAAAAAGGACAGTTAGAGCCTCTCACCAGTGCAGTATTAGAGCTCTATGAGTGAAGTCCTGCTCTGCTCTCCTCTTCCTCAGCTGCAGTTCCAGCTTTCCCTTCAGTGCTGCTGGTTACTGGTGAAGGACATGGACTTCAGCCTCTGCTTCTTGCAGTTATGGAAAATTCAGAAGCTAAAAACTAAAGTAATTGTTGCTATGGTTGTGTTTGGTAGAGCATGATGTTTTCTGCCACGTGTCTCTTGGTGTATGGTACTGGTCAGTGGTGCTGGGAAAGTGGGTAAAATGTTTTTAAGACTTTTGCATTGTACTGTTACTGTATGTGTCTTGGGTTTCAAAGATCAATATTTTAAGTGTTGCCTATAGTCATGCAAGTAGGAAAGGACACTTAATTGCATTTCCCTTTTTTATTTTGTCACTTTTCTTAAAGCATCTTCAACTGGTTGGCAAACAAGTTGTCTTCAAAACACCCATGAAACATTAAAAAAAAGTGCATTTTTGAGAGGCACGTGTTGCTAGGCTTATTTTAAAGGCAAGCATGTGAGGTCCCAGACAGCTTACCCAACACAGAGTGCAAATGCAATAACATCTCTGGCAATCAAATTTTGTCTGGCAATCAAATTTTGTCTTTTCCACATGCCAGGACAGCTTCTACTTCCTGCTCAGCTTGGCATTTTAATCTAGGGATTTATATTGTGTGTTGAGTAAGTATAGTGAGATTTCCTCCATCGTGGATTTGAAGTGATGTATTTTACATTATTAAGTGTATCATCAGTTATTGAATTCCTGTAGCTGGTCAAAGCTGTGCAGGAAGGTATAATCTGGTACTTCATTCACTTTGTTTTGTCCTTTGGTCATGTAGAACTTTCAAATCTCTACATTGCTTGTAGCTTAGGCAATCATATGGATAGAGATGGGAGAAAATCCCATCTCTGCCTCCATTTAAATCCATCTACTCTGTTAATAAAAATTTTATCCAAGGCTAGAAGTAGCAATGTGTACAAACTGACAAATTACATCTTCATCTGTGTCCTCTAATTGTCTTCTAGTTGAATTAACCTGTATTGTGTAGCTCTGGCTGGAAGGATTCGTATCCTAAGAGAATGCTGAAGTCAGGACTTCTAGGCAAAATAAAGGAACATTAATTACTTAGAATTGCTTAAAGTTGGAGCTGTGCCTCTAATGGAAGCAATAATTACTCAAAATTTGACAATGTAAAAAGTTCCCTTTAATTTGGCTGATCCTTGCTATGGATTGTGTATCTTCTTGGTTCTCTGCTGTCTGCCCTCAATTTTAATTTGTTATCACCATTGTGAAATTGCTGGCAAATGAATCCTCTGTTCTTATTTGGAAAGGGTGGGTTGTAGCTGTTGAATGTGTGGTTCATTTCCTTATTTCCTCTCACTAGAGAACAGATCTGCTGTGTTGCTGTGGATTTTAAAGCAGGGTGCCTCTTGAGTCATCTCCCATCATTTCCAACAGCTTACAAATGCAGGTCTTTGGTTTGAGCTTGAGTTTTGTTTGTTTTAAACTTTGCCACTGAATAAGGCAAAATAATGAGTGGTCCTCACATTTCTGCAAATCAGTGTCAGAAAAAAACAATCATAAACCAGATTTAAGTTGCAAAGTCAAGCACTCAGAAAATTAGAAAGTATAAGAAGGGAAATTATCTAATTTTAGTTTTGCTCCTTCACATATATGTATGATGCAACCTCTAATCATGTCATCAGGGGTGTATTTTTCCTTGTGTAGAACCAAAATGTCATGTATTCAGTTTTTTCCTTCCAGTTCTGCTGTTATTCTCATTTTCAAAATGTAGGTCTACAAAGTAGCTCTGGAGCTAGAGAAATAACTTTGCTGTTTGGATTTGATTCTTCACAGGAGAATTAAGCAGGAACTTTCCTGTTCATTTGGCACAGGAACTAGTCATAGATGTTTCATCACAAATATTCCCTTTAAAACATGTTTTAATGTTCTGATTCATTTAGAGTCAGAATACTGAATTGATGTTACTTAATTTAAATCCAGTTTTGTTGACATAAAAACTTTCCAGTGGCTTATTCTGGTTTAGCCTTTGGTTTCCTTTTATGTCTTCCTTTCTGTACAGCTGAATGAGCTTGTTATTTATGTCCCTGCAAATAGGAATATTAGTTGTTTATAGTGATTCCAGTCATACAAGGACACAATTAAATGTCCTTGCCTTTGCAGGACAAGCTCATTTTAGCATTGATTTATAATTACATTCTATTTTAAAATCTTCAGAAGAACACACATAGTCAACAACTGAATACAGTAAAAAAATAATTATTTGTTTAAATATATGGGTTTTTTTTCCCT